CCCCAAAACCCCAAAACCCCTTAGATTACGATAGCATGAGTCTAAGAATTTCAAATTAGTAAATCTATTTATATAAATAATACTTAATTCTAATATGAACAGTTCTTAGGAAAGAGCAGACACTTCCTAAAGCCAAGACACTCCATAAAATAAAAAGAAAATTTAAATTTCACAAGTGCATCATAATACTTTGCTTCAAAACAACACAGATTCTCTCTTCGGTAATAATCTCTCCAATAATTTAGCTGCAAAAAAAGGTGCAGGGGTTGCTTCGGAAGCCAAAAAAACAAAGATTTCATCTGGAGTATTCAATAACGGCGAAGATTTAGCACTTCAATTACTTATAAAGGGAGATAAATTAAGCAGCGATCCATTGGAGGAGTTCAAAATAGAACAATCCTCTAATTTAGGGGGTGCAAGTCAATTTTCAAGGCAGCTTAGTGAGTCCAATAGTTAAAGAAGCCTCAATAGTGATGATTCCCAACCTGATAAGCTGGCTGCTACTGTTAAGAAGCAAGATATCTAAATCCTATAGAATCAGCTTGATGTAATTGAAGAAGAGGTTGAGGAAAATGGAGATAATCAAAAGTTCTCTGGATTTAATGCAGTCAAGCAAAAGGTAGATCCTAAATCAGGCCAACAGAAAGATAATAAGACCTTTATATCAGGAGGAGGATTAAATCTAAATCCTGCCCTCAAGCAAGCATAGAATGATATAATGAGTTTAATTAAAGGAGGATAGAGCAAAGGCGATAGAGACTCAATTATGGGAAACATTGGTGAAGGTGGACCTTTCATTAGTAAGGCTTAAGATAGACGAGAATCAGTATCAATTGCTCTAAATGATAAAAAATCAGCAATAAATATGAAGGAATAGAAGCTGATAAATGATTCTCCGTACCAACCTCCAATGGAAAATCCATATTTAAAGGATAAAGGCCTTCTCTTTGAAGAATAACTCATAGATAATTAGGTTTAAATGGAAAAGGTATAGCTTGGCTTAATGGGCTATCATAGTTTGATTTACGGAAATCTAGTATCCATTGTCATTGATTAAAATGAAGAGAGCTTTAAGCTTCTTTCCAAGAAATCTATTTCTAAGAAACTCTCAAAAAAGTAATTCTAAGAGGAAGAACTTGATAGCAGATGCATGTTTAGAATAGTGCCTCAAAGTTAATATCAGGCTTAATTGAAAATGAAAATGGTAGTCCAATCAGATGTATTCCCATTAAACTCTATTCAGAGAGAATACGATACTCTTATGGCTGAAGCAGAGTCTAATAAAGTCTTTTAGTAGTAAATGATGGGAACAGATGTAAAATACTGGGTTGATATATAAATAGTACATGAACATTCAAAAAGATTCCTTTGCGTTGATCATATGGAATCCTCTAGTATTAATTAATATTATGACCCTAAAACTTTCATTGACTCAGATCTTAAAAATATCACATTTACTACATAAGCAAGTAAAAACACTCATTTCAAGCTTGTACCCACTTGTAATTTTTAGTCTGAAGGATCTGGAATCATTTCAAATGGTCATTACTTCTACATAATTCATACAGATAAAGATAATAAAGATTTCTATCTCTATGAACACACGAAAACTTAAGACTTCATTTTCTCAGAATCTTACAAAACTCCTTTTAGATTCTCAACCATTAGAGACTCAATAAGCTTTGAGGAAGAGAAATGCCTCAGAAATTCAAGCAATGTAATTGTCACTATGGCAAATGAAAATTATTTTCTTGATTTAAAAACTGTACCAGATTTGGACCAATCTTTGAATAAAAATTTGGCCTAATAAATTGCAAATAATGATAAAAACCAAGTGCATGTAGGAAAAGTCACATATGCATTAGATTTAGAAAGATACGATGATATTAAAAGCATTGATTTGTCAGGCTTTTGGGTCGTAGAAATTTAAGAAGAACATGATTTCAGAGTAAAACTTAAAAATATGATGTAAGATGCTTTTATCTCAATTTAATTAATGATTGTAGGACTGGATAATATCTTACTGCTTAGCATTATGATGGAATGACTAGTATTTCAATGACCAAAGAGGATTTGCCAGATTAGGAATTTGAGATTGTGCCAGTTAATATCAGAGTTGATGAAACTAAAAGTATTGACAAGCAACTAGTGTTTAAAATTAGAACATGCCCTATGAATATTGGCGAGTATGAAGAGCCCAAATATTTAAGAGCTTCAAATCACCTTCATTCTTCTCCTCATCTCTAGTAAACAATTTAACACATAGTTTTCGACGAAACTGATCACTAAAGATAGCATTTTATCCTTGGAAAGGAATGTGAACTTAATAAATATGATACTTTTAAATTCGTGTTTCCTGATAATGATGAATTCTTAGAAATAAATATTTGCGCTGATTCTATGTAGATGCTTTACAGTGTGATTAAATCGATCTAAAAGTAGAAAGGACTGCCTAGTTTTCTCTAAAATTAAGAAAATTTTCAATTACTAGCCACCTCAAATATCATGATAGGACTATTAAATTATTGCAACAACAAATTAGAAGGAAAAATTCTACCTAAGTAAAAAATGGGTGAGCCAGTACCCTATAGATAAAAGTTGCTAGAGAGGATTGGACTTTTAGATTATTTATTTGACTATCTCGATTTGATCATTGACTCTAAAATTAGAAAACCTGCTATTACAATAGCAAGCAGAAAAGATTAAAAATAATGGGAAACTTAAATTCATTAAGTATTCTAACTTAGAAATAAAGGTGCTGATACAGAATATATGGGCAGCTTACTGGAAATAATCTTCGAATTAATCTATAGCATTGTATAAAATCAAAGATCTTTTAAATACGATGCTTCTTAAAAGATAGATATTCTTCAGAAATTCATATTTGTTGAAAATGCCCCAAAAGTTCTAATTGAGATACTTAGAGAGGAGTTAGGATAATTAGCCAAAAAGGAAATTCATGCAATAAGCGAGCCTGTTAAGATTTATTAGTTCCAAAAATACATACCCTTGCTTGATTTCTTTCTTTAAAGTTTAGATCCTAAAAACAGAAAGAAGAGATATATCTTTTTGATGAGGAAAATTTGCATTCAAGATGGTTATCCCTTACCGCTAGTTTAAGAATACATTTATAACCAACTATTCAAAGATACATCGAACCGCGGTAAAATCCTGGATATACAAGTTGCAGGTAATGGCTTTAACATTTATGACGAGGCAACCTAGAAATCCTATGAGTTCTTTGATTTTGAAAGACCACATTTTGAGTAATCTCCTAAATATTAGTAATATTTATACAGGGATCCTAAATTTGATAAAATCAAAGAGTTTTTACTTGAGGAAATGGATCTCTTATCCGATATATGCTAAGGTAGAAATCCAGCTTGCTGCATGCACTTGAGATAGAAATTTGAGATTGATCAGCTCCTGATTGCAATAAAAAATGAAAGAATACCTAAATAATGTTAAATTTAATTTCATAACTCATTTTATAGTTAGGGCTAAATTTGTGAGATTACTTGTAGTTCTTTACATTGATTGCGAACCTCACCAAGAGGTATAATATTCTAGAATCCTTAGCTATGTTGAAGGCTCATAAAGGACATTCTCTCTATTTGATAACTAGCAAAGATAAATAGCAAATATGAATTAGAAGTTTGAAGAAATATATACATTTATTAATGATCAGCTTCCCCAAGGCTCATAAATAGAAGAGATAAGCTAGTTTGAAATGCAGATACTATATTTGTGTTAAAATCTTCTCAGATTTGGTTTATTTACTTTTGAGGAAGGAAGTTCAATTAAAACTGTCAATATTATTAAACTCTCCGACTATTTATTTAGCATGCTGCAAAGGATTAGTGAAAAGAGCTCATAGTAAAATATCTTATCAGATATAGAAAAGTTTCTTATATTATCACTCACATAATCAGGTGGGACAAATGAAAACTCATTATTTACTGAGAAGAATCTATCAGTCGGGAATCCAGTCGACAGATCCTCACTTGATGTGAAATACTTGCTTTTCAATAAAAAGTAATGGAATTTGATGTCAGATAATGTTGCCAATAACTCAAAGATCATGGCTAACTTGAGAACTAACCTAAGCAATAAAATATAATAGGATAAGTATTACTTTAATCTTCAACGAATTCATGTAAGTTTTAAATTAGATTTATTGTTAATTTCATAGGTTGGTATATAAAAGCAAATCATAGAAATTTTTCATCTTTTCTTAGATGTAAGGCAGTACTATTACCTTTAGAATTTCTTGGAATTTTTCAGATAAGAAGGGATTTTGAAACTATAAGATTTAATGCAATCTCCTGATTCGTAAATTCACTCGAATATTATTAACTTTAAATTATAGAGCCTTAATAAACATCAAGAATAGGATCTAAGCAATAGTACCAAAAAATTATGGCCAGGGAAAATCTTACGATTCCAAATTGCTCAAATTCCAATCTATAAGTGAGCTCTTTGATGGTTTCAAATAAAGAAACAGAGATATTTTTAAACAAGTTAAAACTAAAACTATTATCAGTAGGAAAGATAGAGAGTTCGTATTTTAAGAGGCTTAATTAATTAACTTCTAGCAGAAATACTCAAGTTTTACTGATATTGTTATAGAGGTCTTTAATAATTGTCAAGAGGATGAGTATCTTCAATAAATGTCGCTTAGTTTAATTTCTAGATTTAACAGTGAAAATGGGGAGTTCGTAAGAAATGTTGATAAATCCTTACTCTTACTAGACCAATAGAACATAGATTTATATTAGGCTATCTCTTATTAGCTAAATGGACTCGTATAGAAGCTCTAAAGGTCTAATCTCTGGCCTATGATTGATAATGCTATACCCTAAAAGGAATACGACGAGCTAATTGCACAGCTTAAAAAATTCAAGAAGCTTTTCTATTTTGAGCATAGAACTTTAGATAGGACTAAGGCAGATTTTGAGATTATTGATACAAATAAGAAAAGAAGAATCTTTAAGCTTCATCAAAACATATTTAGATGTCTTAAAGGATATGACATTATATTGAATTATATTCAATTGAATAAGAATAATTTCTACAATATCTAGAAAAGGCTCTAAAGCATTACAAATAACTGGGGATCAGGAAAGGGCTTGAGTGATATCAAAATCAATAATATAAAGATGGTTTAGAGAATCTATAAGAAATGCTTTAGTGTCTTGGATGCATTTACTAAAAACAATAAAAAATGCAAAAAGTAAGAAATAAATTGATAACATAATTCAAAATAGTTTAATGTGGAAATACAAAGATTTTGTCATCTTCCCTAAGCTTTAAGGAATTCCACAAATTGGGGAATTAGATTTTCTTAGATCTATTCTTTAGGACAATCATAAGATTAAATATGCCAGAAATTTGGATACACTAGTACAAAAACTCAATTAAAGAATCGACATAGATTAAAAGAATACTGCAGTCATTCTGGGTATTTATGGAAATCTAATTGCTTATCATGATTTACCCTATGTAAAGAAAGCTGTTTTCATTTCAATCGAAAATAATCCTACACTTAGATAATTGTATAAAATTTTTATATTTAATCATATCATAGGGATAAAGAGCAAGATCCAAACATTTTTGAAACCGGAATAACTGTTTTAGAGATATTATCCTATATTGTATAAGGAGATACTACAGGTAACACAAGAGAGATTTTAATGAAATACTTTGATCTTACGACATTTATAGCTTATAAGAACTCAACTCTAGCTTAAATGCAGAAATATGTTTAAAATGAGACATATTCTGAAGAAAAAGTTGAAATTTTTAGAGAAAAATTCTTAGAAAACATAGCTATAATATACAACTAGATATATTTTATGAGGAAAGATTATGAACTGTATTAATATAGGCAAATCTAAGACTTTATACTTAGCAAACTTTATGAAGATATGCAAAAGCAGTGCAATAGATATAAAGAGTACCTTTTAAGTTAAGAATTTGAAGAAGAAAAGTCAAACTTAAGTATAGCTGAACTAAAATTCATATTACATCATACTTAAAAATATTTTCTGATTCCAGCAAAGAAGATTTAGAGAGATTATCAAATTTATAACGAGAGTGACAATAAAGTATTGAAAGGTATTTCTACTGGATTAATGAGCAAGCTTGTTTCATAAATTGATTAAATCGGCCTAATTGAAAGAAATGTTTAAGAATTGAAAGAAATAGTAATGACTAAGTCAAATGGGACTAATGAACTTAAAAACTTGTTAAAGTATTTGGACAATCACCCCATTGCTTTCGATATTGATTAATATCCAGAAACTGATAGAGGTGGACCCTATGAAAGTAATGAATACTTTGCAGGGTCTAATATCTTCAAGAGATCTTAACTTTTTACAACAGTGGGATAAAAACAAACTATGAATTTAGACAGATTTGTTAAAGTTAATGTAAAATAGATGTTTTTGGATAAGTAGACAAAGAATATTAAGGACCTATGGAAGCAGACAGTTGAATTCTTATCAAAGACAGATTAGTTTAGAAAGGTAAAAACATTTTTGCAATTAATTATAAAATAGATAATTATTTGGGAGCAACAAGAATTCGGAAGATTTCTTTATGGCAGCATTATGAACTCTTAATTCAAATAAAATGGGAATTTTCAAGATAAAGAACTCAAATTTATCTACAATTGCATTCAGTATATAGAGAAATGTGATAAAATGCCATGGGTAGTCTATAATATTCAGTTTTTACTAAAATCTTTAAGGTAATTATTATCTTTTTAAGTTATATAAATAATTTAGGCATCTCTAAAAGTTTCACTACAAATAAGTGTTAAAACATAGTGGAACTCATTAGTATGATTTGATTTTATCACTATTTGACTCTTCATATAACTTCCAAATGATAATAACTAACTTCATAGCAAATCAAGATTAGCAGACAAAACGATTTTATCATGAAATAATATGCTAGCAAATTATGGATTACTGTTATAGTATTAATCCAGCTTCATAGTAATAAAGATTCCTAGCATACTTCAAGAATGATAAGCAGAGTGAATATTTCTTCAAATACATTTACACTAGCTTCTAAAATTCCATCGAGAAAATAAACAAAAAGTATGTAATTGAAAAATTTAAGGGTAGATAATCATTAGGGAGTATATCAAATAAGATTTATTACAATACAGTAAGATTATTTTAATTTGATATTTTGTAGAAATATTTGGATTAAGATATTTTGAAGTTCTTGAAAATGCTATCATAGAATCCTTCCTCTGAAATGAAAAATATTTTGAGAAAATAACCTTAGAACAACAGGTCATACAATATAGTATTGGTGGTGTATAAGTATTTCTGCTCTTTGCTAAGACATTTAGACACTCCAATAGTTTACAACTTAGTTAAAAGCAGTTTAGAATTCTTGAACCTAATGATCCAAGGTCTTAACTTTGAGAATCAAAAGATATTGCTTGATAACGGCTTTTTCTAAATAGCCAAAGAACTTCTTGAGATTGACTATCACTATGAAATGAGTGACAGCTAAAGAATTAAATTATAGAAAGATAACTAGGCTTTTGAGAAGTATTTCAAATTCAGGTAGTACTTTTAAATGGACAACAGATAGATATCAAAATTAAAACTCCTTGTAATTCCTTATTAGTATAATGCAATGTTAGGTGATAACTATTGTGAGAAACTTACTTTCAAGACATCCTGTCGATAGTGAAATCTTTCTTCAGTTGCGTAGAGAATTCTAGCCCGATACTTTTAGGAAAATCATGACTGAATGTGGTTATTTCTTCAAGAATTATCATAACAATATATATCATCACAATGTTCTATTTGTGGTATGATTCATTAAAATTTATTAATACATCTTAGGCTTAACATAAATAGAACTATAACAATAAGTATCAATATATGATTGAGATAGCCTTCTATTCTTACTTCATTCTGAAGAAGATTCAACATTCCATCAGATATGACAAAGACGACTATTTTTACAAGAATCTTCTTTACTTGATGCCAGAGCAGCAAGTCTATAGATAAAATAAAATAGTGCTAATAGAGAAGGCTAGATAATTCTTCCTTGGATACTTCTTATTTGTATGGGAAATGTTTGACCTCTTGCTCTAGTATTTTAGAAAACTAATAAACTAAAAGATACCAATTACTGAATTTTAAACGGATGATCAGATAAGAGAGACATTTGAATTCTTGGATAGACACATAGGTAAGGTAGAATTAGTAAGATCTAGTGGATCATTGCATACAGTCCAATTCATCAAGCTGCCTTATTGCTAGTTCAAAACAGATGTAGAAAAAGACTCTTTTTTAAATAAGGTAGACAGAACTAATACTTAAACTAAAGTTGAAGGACTCATGAAAGTTCATAGAAATTTTATAAGATAATTCAAGCAAGATTAGAACATTTAATCCATTCCAATTCTTGGACAAATGTCTAAATATCAGGAGACCTGGGCTATTTCTTCCTTTGTCTTGGTATTTATATAGGTTTTAAATTTTTATTTAGAGTTTCATAATCAATATCTTTATATTGTTTTCTTTCTACAAAGATAAGAAAAATTCAACTACCTCAGGAAGTTCATCAGTTTAGGTAATCTCAACCTCAAAGAAGTTATTTGGTGCTGCAGACTCAGATGTCAGTGATAGTGTCATTAATACTTGTGGAATTCTAATCCTCTGCAACTGCCTCTTTATTCTGATTTTGCATGGATATGGGAAAATACCTATTCATTTTGATGTAGCATTCCATCCTGAAAAATACAAACCTAGAAGCAAATCAGGTCTAATTTATCACTAGCATTTGCAAGCAGGTATTAACTAGAAGAAAAAAAGAATAGCAAGAATCAAAGATGGTGGCAAAAAGATGTTCAAATTCCTGAGACTAGTGACATCTGATTTCCCACTAATGTATCACTTGATGTGCGTCATATTTGCTTTCTTGGGAGTTACTGTCCACTTCTTCTACTTTGCATTCCATCTCTCATACTTTATTATATCATCTCAGACTTTATTCAATGTACTCAGATCAATTTGGGAACCAAAATACAAGATTTTTATGACTCTAATCTTATTCTTGCTGATTGAATACCTCTTTGTCATAATAAGTTTCCAGACTTATAGAGATTATTTCCCTGCAGATAATTGTGAAAATTTACTCAGATGCTATCTGGTAACTTTAGATTAAACATTCAAGGCAAGTGGAGGTGTTGGAGGATTTTTAAATAGTGCCTATCTTTCAAGTGAATCAGGTAGTGTGGATCCAAACTACATTGATTATGGAAGGCTATTGTATGATTTCTTTTTCAATTTTATTCTGATAATCTTGATCATTCAGATGATATCAGGTATTATAATTGATAAATTCGGAGCTTTGAGAGAGTAGGATGATAATATTGATAGGGATTCTAAGACTTGTTGCTTTATTTGTGGTTAGTCTAAAGAATCTATAGATAAAATGTATGATGGAGTTGGAGGATTCTACAGTCATATAAGCTTTGACCATAATATGTGGAACTATATTTATTATTGTGCATATCTCTATGAGAAAAAGAAAAACACACCAAAAGACTTAAGAGATTCGGAAAAAGAAATTATATAGAAACTTGAGAACTATGATAACTCTTGGCTGCCAGCCTATTAGTAAGATTTGTTATTATCTAACAATTTTTAGTAATTACTCAGAATTATGATAAAGAAGGATTAATTACTTATTTAAATTCAAAATAATCTTAATTTCATGAAATATCATTAAAAGCAATCACGGGGTTTTGGGGTTTTGGGGTTTTGGGG